TTTGCCGATCCGATCAGCTGTTTGTAACACTTCCTACATTTTTTGCAACTTTTTTGTATTTAAAGTTTTGAGGGATAAACCTCTTAAATTTCTCCAAATAGAAATATATGTAAAAAAAAAAAAAAAGATTTTCAATTTTTTTGTAGTTTATTGCACTTTTTTGCAATTTATGTAGTTACTGTGGACTTAATGCATACATATTATTAAAATTTGGGCTATAATGGTTGTATTGATGTATAGCAACTTGAAATGCTCCCAAAAATGGCACTACAGCATGTAAAAATATAAAATAAGCTCTGGCGGACTTGGTTCTATGGTAGGTCTTAAAGGGTTAACTATTTGTCATGGTTTTTAAATGGATCTGAAAGAAGACTTGTGCTTCTCTGTTTCTGTTATATGAGCGCCACTGTAAAGGATGCATATTAAGTTTTGAATAATGAAAGCATATGTAAATAAGTAATTCCTGTGAGTGAAAAGCCTAGGCTCCAGACAGCATCATACTCATTTTTTTCCCCAGTCTTGGCTCTGCGTGATGTTACTGAGAGTGGACATCTTTTTAATATCTTCGGCTTAAAACTGTGTAAGCACTGAGGCCCCACTCACCTCCGCTCCATGACACGGTGAGTTATCCAGTTGGAAGAAACTAGATGTGGTCGTTAAGAGACGGCCATGGACAGCAACCACACTCAGGTAAGCTGTGGTGTTTAGACTACGCCAAGTTGGTATTAAAATACCCAAACTGGGCTAAACCACCAGCCTTTTTCCAATCCTTAAATGCCCAATGTTGGTGTGCCTGTGTGAAATGTAGCCTCAGTTTCCTGTTAGCTGACAGGAGTAGCATCCAGTGCAGTCTTAAGGTTTGACATGCTGTGCTTTCAGAAATGCTCTGCATACCCTGGTGTCTGTGAGTGGTTACTGTTGCCCTCTTGTGCGTTCTCCTCTGGTCTATAACATCATCAAGGCATTTCCACCCAGAGAACTAATGCTCGCTGGATATTTTTTCCTTATCGGACTATTCTCTGTAAATACATTCAAAGCAGTTCAATTCTATTTTATTTATACAGCGCCAAATCACAACAACAGTCACCTCAAGGCGCTTTATATTTTAAGGTAGACCCTACAATAATACATACAGCGATAAACCCAACAATCATATGACCTCCTATGAACAAGCACTTTGGCAACAGTGGGAAGGAAAAACTCCCTTTTACAGGAAGAAACCCCCTGACAGGACCAGGCTCAGGGAGGGGCGGGGCCATCTGCCATGACTGGTAGGGGAGAGAAAAGGAAGACAGGATAAAGACATGCTGTGGAAGACAGCCAGAGTTTAATAATAAGTATGATTCAATGCAGAAAGGTCTACTAACACATAGTGAGTGATAAAGGTGACTGAAGAAGAAATACTCAATGCATCATGGGAATCCCCCAGCAGTCTATGCATATTGCAGCATAACTATTGGAGGATTCAGGGTCATTTAAACCATAAATACATGTTCATAGTAATTTAAATCACCTTTTATCTCCATCCGGATGTTCAGTTGAAGTTCAGCAGCTCGTCTTGACAACGTCTACATGCCTAAACTGTTGCAATGTGATTGGCTGATCAGATATTTAAATTATTAAGGAGCTGAAGAGTTGTAGCTAACGAAGCTGCTGGTCTTGGCATATCTCCAAATCACAAGGGTAGCTTTTCAGAAGCTGAGCATTTAAGTTCTATGGGGTCTTTTATTTTGAAGGCTGGCTGGATTCTCTATACTATCCCTGCCCTTCTCATCTGTTCTGTGCAGGTCCACATGGTTACAGCTTAAAACAAACAAACAAAAAGCTCTGGGGCGTGTCTGGTGGAATGGTAAGCATTTCTTGAGTATTTTATATCCGTGTATTCTTGGGGTGAGAATTGAAGGGGCAGCCAATCAGAAGTTGGTTTTCACTATATCAGCGCTGGCACATACAGAAACTGTAGAAGTTTTCAGTTTATTAGGAACAGCTGGTTAAAACTAACAGTCTAATGAAACTATCCTGCAAGAACTACCTGTAAAGGTTTAGTTGTTGCTGAACTGAGACCGGTGCTGATTCATCATTGTTTCGCAAGAATTCTGAAGACCACACTTTGAGGTGCTGTTGACCTGTGTTGCAGTTAACAGCTGTTTAGTTAATCTATCCGTATTCACCTGTTAACAAGTAAAGTGGAAACACGCTATAAATCAGTGCTTAATTTTAAATGGAGTTGTACTGATATAGAGCTTTCCTAATGACACTTGTCTATACACACTTGTTGGTCATTTCGAAATCTAGAGGAGCACCTGTGGCGTGTGCAAAAACACACACCACAGGTGCTCAAATCATGCATGATTCATTCAGTGCTCTTCCACGTGTGACCTGCTAAAAGACGCCTTGAAGGAGTTTTCAGTTGAGTCTGTATATGTTCCCTCAAATACAGGATTTTTTTTAATGACACTAAAATAGAAATAGATGTTTTGCAGCTGCAGTCTGGCCGCAGAGAGACCTTTGTTCTCACGTGCCGTCACATGACGATATTGGACCGTGAGATCCTGCGTTAGATATGTGGAGAGAGTTGCAGTGGTTTCAACATAACAGCACCATTGTGTGTTCGAAACGCAACTTGGAGCAAACCTGTTCAGAGTCGAGCTACATTTTGTCCTTTTCAAAACGTGAGCTTTTTCATATTCAGAAAACTGCATATTCACAAATCTGAAGGAAGTTTTGTCTGATCCTGACAAAAGCAATTTCTTCATAAAATTATAGCTTACTCTGCAAGCTGGACTGTCGCCTGGAATTGGTTAGCTTATAGTTAAAGATTAATGGCCTCTCAGTGAGTCAGCAAAAAGGCAGCCTAAGGGGAAAAAATCCAGTCATCGGTGAAAGAGGCTCGAGTGTCTTAAAAAGCAGCAAAAGAGGGGAAAAAATAAATAAATGTGAAGCAGAAAATCTGAGCTGTTTCAGAAATGCTCTCATAAAGTTAACATCATGTGATGTTAAGAGAGCAGGTCTGAAAGATGCTACTCTGACCTTTATTATAAATACACAGCACCATGCTTAAAGTACATGTGCCTTCTGCTGTCACAGGGCAACACTTCCTTTAAAAAACGTGTGCAGTAGTGAGCTTTAGTCCACCCCTCCCACGCTGCTTTCAGGTTCCTCTCTTAATCTAGATAACCGTTGATTACACATTCAGCTTAAAAGAGTAAAGTGTACATCGGTGTTCGAGTAAAAGATGAAATACTATGAAATCTTGGTTCTGTTTTATATAGCTGCTTTTTCTTCTTTACTAATATATCTTTTAAGCGCGCAAATGTACGATTTCAATTCAAAAAAAGACAAAACTATGGGGCTGATGAGAATGAAAGAAAGAAACAAGATGAGGAAACAAACGTGACTGATTTAGAAGGAAGAGATATAAGGTGGAATAAGACCTTCCTTATTTGGTATTTGCCTTTCCTGTCTCTCTGGTCACGTCCTTCCCGTTCCGTTCTGAGTCATCTTGTCCCTTTAAAAGGCTGCGTTCAGGTACGCAATAAAGCAACCTGGGGCTTCTAGATATTTCCAGCACGGGTGCACTGGTGTCTGTTTGGTAAAACTGTGTTGATTAAATGGTGTTAAAAGAAATGTTCACTTCTTTGTTAGATGTAAATTCATGGGAGAACTTTATGAATCAATGTCTGAACATTTGTGGCATCTAAAAGAGAAAGAATTGTCCATAAAATAGCATAATGTTTGGCACCTTTAATGTCCTCTTACTTCACATTATGCGGTAGGACGCCACAACACTAATGCTGAAAGTACTCATAAGTTACTTTGAGTAGAGGCAACAGGTATATTGCTGATTTGCCAATAATCTAGTCTGAGTATTATTGACACTTTTTTTCTTTTATAGAGACAGGGCTGTTCCAAAGCTCTACTGTAGAATTTTGCTTGTCACCATCTTGGTTTTTGGGAACCAGAATCGGCCCAGAGGAGAGACTGGTGGATCTGAAACTGAATATTAAGTAGGTCACGTGTGGCAGAAACAAAAACAGACCACATGTGTGTTAGTTAAATTTAGCCTTGAATCAAACTTTCACTTAATAGTTGCTATTACATTAATGCATGCCTTAAAACCAGGACCTAAAACCTGGGTAATGCAAGTAACTAGACTCGTGGAGTAAAAGTAGTTTTGACAATATGAAAAAATAATGGATGGTACAGAAAAAAGGTGACTTCTTGGATTTTCTGTTAGTGCAACCCAATGCTGAACAGAATCCTTTTAGGTGACCTAAATAAACAAATAAGTAAAATAAAAGTTAGAATTAAAATTAATTAAAAACAACAGAGTACCACAGATAAGCTTTACCATTGCCATATCCTGACTAAATGCCATGGGCTATATGCATTGTGCTGTACTGAAGAGGACTGAAGACTAGCAATAAACCCATTCTGAGTGATTACTGGGGTAATAAATCAACTGAGAAGCAGGGTCACTTTGTCACACACTTCTCAACAAGTCACTTCTTGCTTTATGTCAACAACTATAAAGTCAGTGCAAGAAAATCGAGCTAAAGTAACACTACTTAAACTGGACAATACATATAACTGTACTTAAACAGAAAATTTATGCAGATAGTTAATGCGTGAAAAAAAATAATTAAAGTTCCAAAAATACGTCAAACGGAAAAAGGCAAACAAGTTTAAAGGGTTAATACTTAGTCCGCCATGGTCAATAACAGCAGTGGTTACGCTCTACCAGTGATTTCATATTTAAAAACATGCTCAGCTTTTATTATTTACCGCTTACTGGACAAAACAAGCCCATGTCCTGATAAATTCTTTTTCCACCGATCATAAAGGCCATTATCGCCGCTCACGTGTATTTCGTGTGCTTCGACATGATTTCCAACTGTTACGAGGTGTTCTTAAACGCAGCGCCAGATCGCTGTCGGAACAAACGACCGCACATTCGCTGCCCCGTGAGTGGCGGAGGCGGAGGTTTGATCGTCGGGTGAACGGACCAATCCCGTGCGCCGGTGAGCTCCCGTGCCCCTCCCCCCTCCTCCGCAGCTCCGCCGCCTTCCCCCAGCTGCTGCGAGCGGACAGTACATTCCTCACACTTCGGCCGTCTACAGCTCAGGAACGGGACACTGAAACGAAACCAGCCGAAGACTCGACGGATTCATACCTCCCATGACACTTCCCAAGGGCACGTAAGGTTGGTTTTTCTGTCGTCTTCATGTCATTCTCTTAAATTGAACTCAAGTTTGCCCTTTAAACTTGGTTCAAATTGGATCTTAACGTTCCCGCTGAAGTACGGGAACCGTCACGGGGTTAAGGGGTGTTCTCGGGGGTCCTGAGCTAAATAAGTAGTGTAGAGTGACCATATGATCATAGTTAGCGATTTAAAAAGACTGATTTTTGCTAACATGTTTATTATCCGCGTATTTTACTTTGTTGAGGCTTCTACCGACATATTAAATTAGACCAAGCAGCTTTAATCTCTCCGACGAGGGTCAAACTCACCAAATGGGGCTTCGTGTGTCCTCTTTACTTTTGTAAAAGGATCAGAGAGAAAGTGATCCATGGCGCTACCCATCCCTGTATGGATGAGTAAAGTCTGTCAAGCCTGCTGGGGTGTCTAACAGTGAGTCATAGTTGGTAAAATGCGCTCTTTCAAATGTCTTAACTCAGGGGAGAAAAAAAAATCGACTATGTAAAGGTGCATAATATATTCAGTATCTGCAGCTTTATGTGTTTTCTCCTGATTTGAAAAGGCTCTGTGCCTGACAGTGTCTCTGAAACTAAGCATGCTCGCTTGCTTTGTGCTCTTACATAAATTGAATGCAAGGTTTATTGCCATGCCGCCAGATCAGAGATCCAAGCCCTAAAAAAATAAAATAAAGAAAGAATAGACACACCATCTCAGCGACTGCTGTCAAAGGTTTGTGTCTCATTTTCTTTCACTTCAACAGGAGGAAATGCTCCGATTGGTGACTTTAAAAAAGACAAATGTTTAAGACCAACAGTCAGTTCAAGCTCTGGGAAACTAGCCTCTCTACCTAATTTAGTTTTGCAGAACTATTTGTTGTGTTTTGCCATGTAAATGTAACGCTTCATTACACGTTGTACCTTATTGCAACCTAACAAATGGGCTCTTTATCCCCTGATGCAGGCCAATGTTGGGTCGAGGTGTGAAGCGGAAGTGGAGCTGCTTGGAGGAGCTGGAGGCTGAGGTGGTCGCGGAAGCCACTATTACGGAGGAAAAGGAGCAGAGTGGAAAGGATGGCCAGGAAGACGAGGCCGGGCTTCTCATTGACCCGTCCAAATCGGTCATGAGCCACCTGCAGCAGCGTCAGCGGGTGCTCGGCCTCTGCTTGGAGAAGCTCCAGCGTTATCAGGCGGGGATGGAGCTCAGCCTGCGCCGCTCCGTGCTGCTCATCAATACTCTCAGGCAGATTCAGGAGGAAATACGGAGTGACGGCGTGGGAACCTGCACCTCAGATTCACGTCTCAGCATCAGCGGCGTTCATGCAGATGACTCCTGTCTACTCAGGGACGATTTCAGAGAGGACGTGCCTGTTACGTGCCCTGGGTGTGCCGAAGGAGATGGGGAAAGCCTGTCTCTGTCTCCCCCACTGTCCCCCGAATTCCCCTCTCAGGAGGCAATTGACTTCCCCGACCAGCAGAAATCTCTGCCCGCTGCAGCCATCAGTACTTTCAGCGATGCAGTAAATGCCATGGGCTACCTCAGCGACCTCGCCCTGGATGATATCTTTGAGGACATTGACACATCGATGTATGAGACTTCAGATCTGCCGTCGGCCTGGGCGGCAGGGTCTCTGTGGCCAGTCAGCGTGTCGCTATGGCCGGACGAGGACGTGAAATTACGTTCTTCCAGCCATTCCTCAACGGGGAGCCTCCAGTCTTGTCTCGTGGACCTGAATGACCTGGACCACATCATGGAGATCCTGGTAAAGTCCTGATCACCGAGATGAACTTCTGAACATTTCCTGTCTTTTTTTTAGGAGTTGCTCCGGTTGAATTAGGGCTGACAAACTCTTTCTGATGAACTCTGTCTTTTTTTTCCCTTTTTCTTTTTCTTTTAACGGTCTGTCTGATAGTTTGACAGAAAAATTTTCTCAAGGTTGAGCCAGTTTAAGGTGGAATGAAACACTAATTCTAATATGCACATGCCTCTTATGAGGACCTAGTTATGCACCTATGCTTGTGCCTCAAGAGATATGAAATATTTATTATAACAGATGAAGAATAACATTCAGAGCGTCTTATAAAGTTAGACATCCATGGTACAACTCTTTTGCACAGTTTTTAATAGTTATCAGTCCAAAACTGCTATTGACAGGAAAAGTGAAGATCGAAAACTTGACACAATTTGTCAGTCGAGCAAAAATGGAAAGAAATTATTTCTGTCTTTGTATTTTATTTAATTTTCTTTAGTATTTTTATGCTGGGGTTTTGGGCTGTCAGAAAAGTAGCAATTGAAGAGCTAATTTATGACATTTTACTGGCAAACAAAACAAAAATGGAAAAAAAGATGTACCTTTTATTTGTGTAACCAATCAATATTAATCAAAGAATTTTATTTTTTAGCTGAAACTTGGTATATAACAATGCTACAATCAGAAAGGCATTTTAGAAGGGACAGGAAGACCTGGAATCAAACCGGGCAGCGCTTTAGCTTTCCAGCTGGTTGTATTATGAGTAGGAGGTGAATAATCTCTACTAAGAGTAGATCAGACATGTTTAGACAAAGTTGGCACACCAAAAGTATATTGCAAAACTTGCAAGAGAAGTGTTGCAATGGGTGGTACTGGACATGAAAAACTGATGGCATACGGCAGTGTTTAAGGTGAATTTTCCTGGACGTGGATCCTCACGTTTCCAAGTATTTGTCACTTTGCTCTCCTGCTTCTGTAACTGCAGCAGTCGTCAGAAGAAACCTGAGCTGCCGTGCTTCGTGCGGCACTCTGACTGTTAGATCAGGTCTGGGTTGATTATTAATTGAAATCCCTTCAATTACTTAAGAGGGCGTGCTTCTGCCAGCCAGGAGAGCCCAGGCCCGAGTTTCTTTTTTCAGTTGTAGGACCGAGCAACTCCTGTTGATGAAAGATGAAAGTCTTTGTGGCCGTACAGCAGTCAGAGCATGGACTATTTATCTATCTGTATATTTATTTCCTTAGTAGAAAGGAGAATGCAGCCGCTTGTGAGCACTATATTGAAGTTGTATAGAAAGTGTGTGTGTGTGTGTGCGTGCGTGTGTGCGTGCGTGTGTGCGTGTGTGCGTGCGTGTGTGCGTGCATGTGTGTGTGTGTGCGCTGGGGTGGGTGGGGGGTGTAGAGAGGACATCTCAATGCTCCAGTATAGAAAGGGTAAATTGTTTTTCTTGTTGCCTTTTTATCTAATTTTATTTTTTAATTGTGAATGACAACTGAACAGCAAACCATATTACTGTTCTTTCTACATAGAGTCTATCGGTTAGGTGTGAGTGTAACTTATAATTAAGGTTCTTTCTAATCTCGGACTGTCAGTGTTGATGCACTTTGTGACACAAAATGGGACAAACAGTCAGCACCTGTATGACAAATAAGAGTTTTTCCTTCTTGGCAGCTTTTTTTTTTTCTTAGTATAGTAAATCCAACATGTCATTAACTCAGCATACAATATGTATTTTTAAATGGTAATGTAATCCCAGTCTGGTTCTGACTGAGGAGCCAATTGCATCAAGTCAATGGTCAGGGCACCTTTGCCATGTCTCAGAGTTTAACCTGAAAACAGAAGCCTTTGTATTTTGATGGGTTTTTTGTTTATTTCAATTTTTACACGCAATGTGGGAGTTGAGCAGTTTTATACGCGTTTCTACCTGAAACCAATTTCCTGTCTAGTAGAGGAAATCCAGTGAGTGAAAGGTCACAGGGAATCTGACGCCTGACCTTCGCTGTTTGTGGTTTACTCCTGTTCTACCTCCTGATGTCTGTCTGTCTGCCGGTTTACCTGGAACACTCCTGTTTTCACCCAGAGAGCCGTTGTGTGTTTGTCGCTGATCGAAACGGTGTGGTTTATATCATTTTAATTGTGCTGAGAATCTAACGCTCTCCTGTCAGACCAAAGTGATCCGTCCTCATCTCCATCTCATTTCATGTTGACAACGTGCCTTACTACTGATTCTAATTTTCAACTGCGCTGACGTGTTGTGTCTGTGTGAGCTCGAGCTTCATTGATATTTTTTGTTTTTTGTTCTGTTTTTTGTAAACCAAAGGACTGCAGAAAGGTGTTACGTAAAGCACTCAGAAGCCACGGCTGTCATGGTTTCTTCCCTTTACTTGGCCTTTTTCTGTGCTCGCTGAACACTACAGGCATATGAGCTTAATGTATCCTGACGGGCTGACAGTGAACTAGCTGAGGGAGGAGGTGGCAGCCAGAGCCAGAAGGGGGAAAATAAGAGGAGGAGGAGGATGAGGACGTGGAGGAGGGTGGGAGGAAGCAGATTGCGTCACATGTTCAGTAGGAGGGGTTTGGAGCTTGTTTTGCCCAGACTAAGACTACAGACCAATCACATGAGATGTACGAGCAGTGGACTGCTGCTCCAACAACAACTTGTTTTTGCTCCTGATGCCTCTGCACAGACACAGTGTGAATTGGCTGTTCTTCAGCCGGTGAAATAAAACCACTTTTCTGTTTTTTATAAAATAATTTTACATAATCTGTCTGACAGGATTGAATATAATAAGCAGGAGGTTGCAGTGTTATTTATAATTGTGTGAAAGCACAGAGTGTCAGTAGGTTTTGCAAAGCACAAAGTGTATGTTGTCAATGCTGAACATGAAAAACAACCCCCCCCCCTCCAATGTAACTGAAGGAAGACTTTGTTCAGTGAAAAGATGATCGTTCATAATGTATTGTATTTGTTTTTGGAATATTTTATAGATTTTATCCAACAATAAAGAGAAAATACTCTAACCGCTTTGTGTGAGTCTTTTAATCTTTCATTGCAAAACATCATGCAGACCTGACTGTGTCTTTGGCACAAAGACACAAACGTCACATCTCTATTACAAAAACTGAACATGAAGTATTTACTATACACACCAACCACGCACACACAACAGGACATTACTCAATACGCAACTGACTGCATGTGGTCTGTGGACCTGCAGGAGTATTTTGTCTTGTGTGTTGCCTCCAAGGCAACAGTCCCTTTTGAGCTCAGCCAAAATCCTTCTAACCTTTAACTGCTTAACCTCAGTAATAGTATACATGTATAAGCTAAAGCATGTCAATGATACATCATGCAAAAGGGCATTGCAGCCTGGAAAGCAGGGCTGAGGGCAGAATTTCCCGCAGCCCATAAATATATATATATATATATATATTCCCAAATGTGTCTAGAGAGTTAAATGGAAGCCAACACTTCCCTCTGGTGGTCATTTGATAGAAAAGCAGGTGTTTGTTTATGATGAGAATGACAATGCACATTCAAAAAGATCGGTCCTGCAGTGTTTGTTGGTGTTGTAATCAGGCGTTTCTGCAGCTTCATCACTAAAACCTGGTGTCATTTTCAGAAAACCTGATCTGTCTATGAAGCCAGCACAGTAAGTATCAGTGTTTCTCACAGCAGGGGACTAAACTTCCTGTGAATCTCACTCAATTCACTGGCAACTCTCTTAGTCATGGAAATTCTGGACAGAGAGGTTTAATCTCATGTTTCACATTTACCTCTGCAAATGCAGTGTAGATCTCTATAAAGCTGTATATGCAACATTACAGATCAATACTGGTGTAAAAAAAAGGAAAACCTTCAAAGCCTTTTACTTATGTAAAAAACAGCAATATTATACCAGAAAAATATCATCAAAAGCACTGCTCTTCTCCTCTGCCTTCTCTTTCCCCTCCTGTTAAAAAGGAGTTCTTCCTTCCCACTGTCGCAAAGTGCTATCAAATAGTGAATCAATGGGCTTCTCTATAATCTATAGCAGGGTCTTCACCTTACATTGTACAGATCCTTGAGAAGACTTCAAACATTAAAAGTTTTTCAATTTCAATTTTCAAAGAAAAATTAGTTGCATTATTTTTATTAGGTATTTTCAAGAGAAGAAAAGCTAAAATGACTGGAACCGAAAAGTCTCACAAATGAGAAACAATTACACAGCCTGTCATTCCATTAAACCTGAATATGAGTACTGTACTATAAAGCGAGTTCTCAGCCTCCTTTGTTCCCTGTCAGAGAAGCATCTTTTTGCTTGGGATCAAATATAATTACGCATCACTCCATGAAGTGCCCCTTTAATGGCTTGTTGATTTATTACTTTCGGTATTCATCTGTTTCCATATTAGTTGAACTATGACGACAGAAGACAACACATGGAAAAAAGAAAAGCAACATATGTTCTATATATGGCAACAGACTCGAGCTTAATTTTAGCCTCTAGCCCTGGATGGGATCGAAGGACAAAACATCATGGCATACAAACAGATAAAACCCACGATGTGTCAGATTAAAATGCAGCACAGTATGGATATTCTGCTACATTCTTCCCTCTCTCAGCAAAATTATGGGTTTGATCTCAGCCCAGGAGAGAAAGCAGTAGAGTAGATGTTGTGAGTGAGAGGCCTCTGGTGCAGGAATTCAGGGAGTGGCCACACACAAGGAGGAGCAACACGTGCACCACTGCACACAGCCACAGCCAATACTACCATTTTAACACACCAGAACTGCACATCCATCTGTCTGTCTGTCTGTCTGTCTGTCTGTCTGTCCACCAAACCAAAGATTTTGTGAAAGTATAACTGTGTATCTATGGCCCAGCAGAGTGCTGTGGTGTGTCAGTCTGGGTTTAATGTTTCTCTGCAGGCAGGCATCAGTCTGCTGCGGTGCAGTAAAGCCAGGCTTTGGCTCAGAAAGCCTCGGTGTACCAGGCTGACTCAGCACAAACGCGCACACACTTACACACATTTGCACAATAAACCGCCTGTTCTGCTACAAAACAATGGGATGGACCAAAGAGCGATGGGCAGATAGAGCCTGTAGCACTTCATAATTTATTTTATTTTCTTTAATGCAAAAAAAAAAAAAAAAAAAAATCAACAATTTATGTGAGGTATGAGGTGCACAGTGGGACTGCATCTACAGTCTTCTCTTTTATTCTCAGCACTTAAAATGCATAATGGAAAATGACTCAACCAGCAAAAGGCTGTAAGTTGTCCAAAAAGCTGTTAATGCTTGTATGTTAATTAGTTTTTACTATCAACACAGCAAAACAGTAAGCTAATAAATAATTATTATTCAGTGACATTCAGGTATTTTTTCAGAAAGAATGTGGTGTCTAGCCGTACATTCCTCATATTGTAATTTTACAGACGTATTAGTCCTATATGTTTTCACTGACTGCACATGCTCACTCTAGCAGAATATTATTATGAAGCTAACTGACTGCTATTTTTACATCAAAGCTCATACACCAGATGATAACTTCAAAAGAAAAAAGTTCTCTATTCTACTTTGTGAATTATACTTTGTATCTAATATGTGAAAAAAGCTTTATTTTTCTCCAGGAGTCACATGGATCAGGACAATTTCAAATCATTTTATTTATACAGCACCAAATCACAACAACAGTCAAAGTGCTTTATATTGTAAGATAGACCCGACAATAATACGTACATAGAAAAACTCAACAATTATATGACCCCCTATGAGCAAGCACTTTGGTGACAGTGGCAAGGAAAAACTCACTCTGTTAATATTTTCTTGATAAATTTATTGTTTAAAGCATAAAATGCCAGGAAGCAGTGAAAACACTTTGTTTTGACTAATAAACATTCGTAAATCACGTAACTGAAAGCAAAACAGCTAACTCTTAAGAATGGATAATGGAAAATGGATAGTTCTTCTGTTTGCAAAGTGACTTAAACATCCATACACATATTCAAAGACACACAATATGCATGCTTACACATAACACTGCATATTCTTGAACATATTTCTATTTTGGTTAGGAATGTGGGGGGTCAGAGTAAATAAGTGATTCGTGTGCTCTGCTTGAGCAATACTTGTTTTGATTCAGCCTTAGTGTTCAGCAGAAGGGACAGACCCAACTAAGTAAAGTAGTTACACAGGCTGAAGACCAGCCTGCTAAAACTGTATCAAAAAGCTCTTTTATTCAGCTCTAAGGATGTAAAGTAGGTTTGTTAGTCAAAGAAAATATTAGTACAATATTACTACAGCAATTGTTAGCAACTATTAACATTTAGCTACAAGCACCATTGTGCTTACAAAATCAGAGATGTGTGTTACATTGTTAAACCTATTAATAATTATCTTTAAGCAGTTTCAGAGAGTCGGTGCTGTTGAACTAACGACTACCTTTTTTAAATAAGACCTTGATTTGGCTCAATACTTAAAGGGATACAGCTGCACATTACACATCTCTACTGCTCAGTCTAATCAGTGCAATGCATTCCACTGAGCAGGAAAGGAATTATTTCTTAATGCACACGACATGACTTCATTCTCCAAACACATAAAATCTTAACTGTGGAAAGAAACATGGTCAAACTCCTGCTGTGTCATGCATGATATGGATTGGTATGGCGGTGAAAAAAAGTCAGATGGTTTCCTTTAAGTATTGTTATTTTATAATATGGTTTGTAATTAATTAGCAAATAGGATTTCTAGTATTATATATATTGTCCTAATTTAGTATAATAATCAATGATTTAAAGTTCTATAATAGACTTTTAGCCAAGTCAACATTTTTATCTGTATCAAAGTCGAGCTGGCCACGACCATTTTATACAGATTTGCATTCTGAGAGCAGCATCTTAACTTTTCTAAAAGGAAAACAGTGACTGACATCTTTTTACTTGCCATTACCCCTGCAGGCGATTTGAAAAGGTTAAGCATTTTATGCCGTTATTGTTGACTGCATTCAGGTTTTATTGACAAAGAAAGCTAGACAGGTGCACAGAAAATGGTCCAAATAACTCTTTAACCGCCCCCTAAAGGGTGTAATGACTTCATTTTAACGAGTATAGTCTGAAAAATACTCAACCTGCAGTCACTTTTGTCACCATCTCTCACGTGCCTACTTTATGTTGGTCGGTGACACATGCTGGTAAAAACCCCAAACATCTGTTATTTGAATCATCTACATGCGACCACTGGCAGACATGGTAATAGCTTCTACTCTGCCTTTAATTACCCACATTTATAATTCATTTGCAGCTAATTAAATTGAACTGAGTAGCGAGTAGCAGGCATGCATGCAGCACAGTGTCACTCTTGTTCATAGACTTTGGTTGGTTTCCAGTCAAGACCTTCCATCTTCATCATTATTACTGTCATCATGTGAAAACCATGTAACTTGATTCTGATGGATTCTTATGTTGTAAATTTGAGAAATCCTACTGGTTTAATTAAAATTAAAATATCATAAGTTAAGTGGAAAACAAGTCAATTTAGAGCAAATAATCAAATAAGCGAGTCGCTGACTGAAAGAACATTAACTGGAAACTATTTAATTAACCCTTGAAAATACATCTTCAAACAAAATTACCCCAAATTTGCTTGATAATTTGATAATTTTTATTTTATTATTTTATAATTAAAAATGAAATAAAACAGCTGACTTGTGAGTTTGTAGTCTTGTAATCATGTTTGAACCTCAGGGCTTTCATGTTGTAGCAACAGTATTGATCAGGGCTTAAAGTAGTTTATGTTGGTTTATATTAACTAACCTCAAAAGGACTTCTGTCCGTGCTATTAACACAAAACTAATGAGATCTTTTACCTAGATCATGGTAACAGTATGTCAAGTTTAATTTACTTCATTGTGAGTGTAAGTCATACATTTAAAAAAAAAAAAAAGTAAAACATAATTATACTTAATGACACAACTCTTAAAAAATCTAAATGTACACAATATCCAGTTACTACAACCTATACAGTTAGTAGAGACAAA